ACTGCTGCCTCTCCTTGATGTGGCTGGAGACAAATTCTATGCGACTGACTTTGCTTCTTCCGTATTTACCTCCCTCTGTCCAGACATATCACTCCTGTCTCCACCTCTCTAGTGCTGGAATTAAAGGTGTGTGATCCCAAGTGCTGAGATCTCCTTTGTGTGAGCTGTTTCTCTTTTAGATTGATTCAATCTTGTGTAGTCCTGGGTGGCCTTGGACTGACAGAAAGGTGCGTCTACCTCTGTCTCCTGAGTCCTGGGATTAAAGGTGTGTGCCGCCACTGCCTAGCTTCTATGGCTAACTAGTGTGGCTGGCTTTGCATTCGAATACTTCAGGCAATCTTTATTAAATCATAAATAGTATGTCACCATACCTTTGCCAGCTTTGCAGACTCTGAAGCAGCTGAGCTGGCCTCTTCCTTTCCCACAGCCATCACCCCATGCTGTGGTACAAAGACTCAGAGTCTGAATAACTGCAGCAAGGTTCACCCTCACTCCTAGGTATCCCAGGGTCTATAGCCTTGATTGGGACTCTTCAGCACCCACGTGAGCCTCCTTTGGCCTGAAAGGACCTGTTCCCAGCACTAGGCAGAGGGTAGCAGATATTGTCAGGCTGGGAGGCAAGAAGGGCGGGATCGGAGACACCAGAGAGAAAGGGAAGGGACCACCGAGAAAGGCAGGAAGGTAGCAGTAGCGGGACCCCTGTGCGTTCCTGGTGAGTGATCATTATCTGGTGGATTTTACCCACAAACACGCGCTCAAAGATAAAAGGGTTTAGAATCATAAAATAGGAACAGCATAACATTATACCAAGTGCTGGACCCTCTTGAGGGTCAGGTCCTGAGACTGCACAGCCATAGACCCACGAAGCTGCCCTGATTACAGAATGGAGAGGTGGAAGGTCCAATCTCAGTATCTTGGTCCAACAGAGCAGGAAGCCGTGAACCCCGAGAGCTAAAATGATGACAAGATAGACGCGCGCAGCAGAAGCAGACAAGGCCGTGTAAGCGCCACAAGCGCAGAGTTGGATGGGGCAGTGAAAGCTTCCTTAATAGGAGCTCATGGATCTTGAAGGATTAAGTGGGAACTCTCCAGGAGGAGGCTGGGGCAGGCATTCTAGGAGTTGAAATGGAAGGTATAAAGGTTGCTTCAGCCAGATTTCAGGTGAAACTCTTGTTGAAGATAAGCTTGGCCAGTGCTAACTACCTTGGTGACTGTGTGAGGGACTCTGTCATTCTCACTATGGCCCGTGGAAGGATCAGTTTTCCGTTGTCTGTCACGGGCACCGGGTGGGGAAGAAACAATGAGATGTCTCCTTAATATGATTCAGGGACCAGAGAGGGTGACAGTGGCACAAGACAGGAAGTGGGAGGCCTCTGGGTCATGATGGATAGTGATCAGCTGTCAATGAGTTCTGAGGACCGATGCCCCAGACCTTCCCTAACCACTTGGGTGGGTCCTGAATATCTAGCTTATATTTTCCATTCTATTTGCTGGAGCAGAACTGTGCCCAGGGAGCCAGCTGCTACCTTCAGGCCAGTGTTCATTCTGTATGTCAAAAGAGGCTTGTTCTTCCTGCTTCAATTTCTTTACCTAGATCATAAATGATCAGAGTCTCCTGCTTGGGTCTAAATGTGGTCCCCTAACCCCATGATTGCTTATAGCCTGGCACAGTGCTCATGTTGGCTGACAACACCCTGTAATACCTTGGGTACATTGCCCAGGCCCCAAACCAATGTCCTAATATTTCCTCAGCCCAAGGTTCTGCTCCTCCTCCTCCCTCCATGCCACTCTAAGTGCCTAAACTCTGAGGTCTGTGCGTTCCAAGACCATGCAAAGGCCGTGAAAGGAGACTGGGAAACATACAACCCAGCATTGCTTCCAAAGACCAGACAACATCCCCAGCATCCAAATGCATCAGCAATATCTGACACTTAGTGCTTCCTCCATCAGGAAATAGCAGGTGTCAATGTCAGCTATACTTAGACAGCACGTGGGCTATACCTAGTCTGGGCACTGTAATTCAGGAACTCAAGCACTTTCCCCACAGCTGGGTTGGCTCTTACTCTCAGACAACACACCTCTAACTAATTCTTGGGGCAAAGAAGAAATCTCAAGAGAAACAAAAATAACAGTGTGAGGGATGGTGATTGGGGTTTGTGTAACTGGCCTCAAACTTACTATGTAGCTAAGGATGACCTTGAATTCCTGATTCTCCTGCCTCCGCCTCCTTATGCTGAGCTCTTTAGAGTGAATCACCATGCCCAGATTATGAAATAATTTAGGCTGAAATATATATATATTTATATTCAATATATATTGAATATATATATATATATATCAAAATATGTTGGAGGTAGGTAAAACCATATTCACACTGGATGTTTGTGAGAGATGTCTATTAAAGAGAAGAAATGTATGGATGGCAATCTAAGCATCTATCTTGAGAAACTAAGGACCAGAACAACCCTAAAACAAACACAAGGAAACAATGAAAAATAACAGCAGGACTCAGTGAGAATTAGAGAAAAATCAATAAAACCAATGGTTGGTCCTTTGAAAAGATTCAACAAATTGGCCAATCCTTAGCCCCTGTCTTGGTGTTTCTATTGCTGTGAAGAGACACCATGACCATCTTTTCTTTCTTTCTTTCTTTTCTTTTTCTTTTTCTTTTTCTTTCTTTTTTTTTCTTTCTTTTTTTTTTTTTTGAGACAGGGTTTCTCTGTTTAACAGCCTTCCTGGAACTAGCACTGTAGATCAGGCTGGCCTTGAACTCACAGAGATCTGCCTGCCTCTGCCTCACCAGTGCTGGGATTAAAGGTGTGCACCAGCACACCTGGCTCATGGTAACTCTTATAAAGGAAGAACATTTAATTTGATAGTTTATATTTTCAGAGGTTTAGTCCATTATCATCATGATGCAACATGGTGGCTTGCAGGCAGACATGGTGCTGGAGAAGGAACTAAAAGTCCTGCATCTTGACCTACAGGCAACAGGAAGTGATCTGAGACACTGGGCATATCTTGAGCATAGGGGACCTGAAAACCCACCCCACAGTGACACACTACCTCCCACAAGGCCACATCTACTCCAACAAAGCCACACCTCCTAACAGTACCACTCCCCATGATCAATTACATTCAAACTTGCACAGCCTCTACCAGGAGAAAGGAGCTAGAACTCACCAATTTCATGAGCCAGTGAATGACTCAAAGGGTAAAAATGCTTGCTGCCGACCCTGATGACCTGAGTTTGATGCCTAGGATCCACATGGTGGAAGGAGAGAAATGACTCTTACAAGTTGTTCCCCGACTGCCACATAGGTAACACTGCTTGTGTGCCTCTCCCCCTTGACACGCATACAAAAAAATAAATATTTAGTAGAAATAGAGAAAGAACACATTTTTCCGTTCCCATTTCTCTAATGAATTACCACTCTGAGTATTATGTGCACCAGGACATACCCATTTGATACGATATCTTTGCTTTATGTGGACTGTGACGTGTGCCCCTTGGTCTGTAGAAATGTAACTTCACAGTATAAAATGACACAGTTATCTTCTTTTGGGTACTTTTTATCCTACTTTAAACATTTTCAACTGTGGTTCACTATGAAAAGCCCAGTGCAAGGTGTCTACTCCTGCCAGAACCAGCTTACATCTCCAATAAGGCATTACTGGCATGGATGGCTTCCACGTACTCTAGTTTCTGTCACTGCTCTCAGGAGAGAGAGAGAGAGAGAGAGAGAGAGAGAGAGAGAGAGAGAGAGAGAGAGAGAGCACGCACATGCACTTGTGTGAGATTGGTGTTGAATGTCTTGTTGAACTACTTTCCATATGATCATCATTTTGGTGGTACTGGGGACTGAACCTAAGACCTTGAGCTTGCTTGGCAAATGTCATAGCACTGACCTCTCTCCCTAGTCCCGCCTTATTTTTTGAAACAAGATTTCTCACTGAACCTGGAGTTGACCAGTTCAGCTAGACTAGCTAGCCCACAAGCCGTAGGGATTCTCTTGTCTGTGTTCCCCAGCACTGGGATTACAGGCATGTACTGTCATACTTGGCTTGACAAGAGCGTCATAAAGGACATTTTATCCCCCAGAAGGTACAAGAGACTCACAAGCAGCCAACCTCTACTCAGCCGCAGTTTTCCAAGTCATCCCATTTGTCAAATCCCAGTGGGCATCTCACTTGAGTCCCCTAGTACACACATCTGCTAGATCTGCTGGATCATTTATCTTAGAAGGATTCTTTGGGTGTCAACAGTGAGTTCCACAGGGCCACATTTAACTTGGATGTCCTTCCGATAACCTGCTTTATCACTGCTGTCTGCTACATGGCCAAGCCACTGGTCACTGCTTATGAGTCAGTGACATCCATCACTGCTGTCTGCCACATGGTCAAGCCACTGGTCACTGTTTGTGAGCCAGTGGCATCCTAACACAAGGGCTCTGTGCATTGTGAAATCCTTCCACAACTGTAAGGGAAATAGCCCACAGGTCATCTCGCTGGGTGGATTTGTTCTTACTGCCTTGGCTCTGAGTTTCTTCATTAGTAGGTCATGGTATGGTGGCCTTGGGGTCGGATGTTAGCCATCACTTTAAAATAGCCATCTGTAAATTAGGCAGCTCTGCAGCTCAGTGGGGACTGCTCATGGGGCATCACCATTGTGGCCATAGACCTGGAAGACCCCTGGATGGTTCTCTATCATTCTGTTGGTGTGCGTCCCTCATAGGAAGTTCCATCTCACTATGGAACTCTCCTCGGCACGGTCTTCCCTGGAGTGTGTCTCTGCTGTCACTCATGCATTGTGGGAATTTCAGATCAAAAGATTATTTTAGGTCCCTCAGGCTTTGTGGAGTTCCAGTTAATGGCCACTTGCAAGCCAGTAATTTTGTCTCTAACAACAGGTATATATAGCAACTGACAAGGTCTTTGTCCAAAAAAATCCCAGTACTCACCACTGGGTGGCACTCAAGGGCTCCTGCCGTGAACCCCAATCTAAGGTCTATGAACTGTCACCATTTGTGTGTGAGGGAGCCACGTCATGGCCTGAAGAGAGTTTGTTGGTGATAAGACGGTAATGTTTAACATCGTCATTAGTTAAAGTGATCATCTCATTGTCCAGCAGGTATTGTACATTATTTCAAATTAATGGCATGTAACGATGTGTATGGGATTGGGTAACTGTATCTTCTCAAGTCATGTAGCCAATTAATATGGGCTGCAGAGCAGACTTACATGTTTGCCATCTCACAACAGGGAGGGAGAAAGTCTCAAATCTGGTGTAGAATCCACCCCACCAACACAGTCAGGTGGAGGAGACACCTGCAGTCCCTCCACAGAAATCCATTCAAACGTTCCTGTGCATTCTCAGTGTAGTCTGCTGGACCCAGCAGGCATTGCTTCCTGTTAGCTTTCCCATATGCCTGGAGCCTCAGTCAGAGCTTCACCAACAGGCTGTCGGAATTAGTTTGTAGGGGTCCCACCTCCAAGTATGCCAGAAAGGTTTCCTCTCCAGCCCCTGGGAGCCTTTGGGAGGCCGTGAGGTGGGGCTGTCATGGGACTAGTGCCTTGTAATCAGCCCCCCCCCCTCCAGAGCTTGCTCCCCACTCTTTATCTTCGTCTCTCCCCATCTACCTCCTTTCCCTCTTCAGATTGTGGGATATGTAAAAGAAATGTACTCCCCTCCCCCATTTCTTACCTTGTACTATCTTTTCTATCAAAAGGTTAAATAAGACAAAACTCTGTTTAAAAATAAGAATTATTCTGGTCAGTGGTGGTGCATGCCTTTAATACCAACACTTGGGAGACAAAGGCAGGTGGATCTCTGTGAGTTGAAGGCCAGCCTGGTCTACAAAGAGAGTTCCAGGACAGCCTCTAAAGCTACAAAGAGAAACCCTGTCTCAAAAAAAAAAAAAAAAAAAAAGAATTGTATGGAGTGGCTAGCTGGGAGGTGGCAGGAAAGGGAACAGGAGGAGAGGAGGGAGGGAAACTGTGGTTGGTAAGTAAAATAAATTTGAAATTTTAATAAAAATTGTAAAAAAGCCACTTGGCAGACAGTCAAATTCCTCCAGGGTCAGTATTTTTTTAAATAAAATATATTTATGCAAGGTTGTACTCAGTGCCTCCCCACCAGCCTTGGTGTTTAAATTAGGCAATCATACAAAGATGTGAAGTCTGGCGCCTGACCACCCAGAGGGAGGCAAAGGACTGACTCACATCAAGGTTAAAAACCAGTGGACCCTGCTGGGAGTGCTTGACTGCTTGATCTAGCTCAGACATTCACCCTTGTGAAAAATCAAACCTTTCATCTTAGGGAAGTATTCTGGATTGTGTGGTCATTGTGTTGAGATTCATGTCTTACCTAGTGTAGAAGCCAAAGAGGACTTGAATGTGGTCGTGGTTAGAACCATTCTTCTGCTCAGCCTCTGCTCTTAGCCAAGGGTAGAAGGCATTTAGGCTCTGAGGATAAGTTGGCAAGCCTTTGGCTGAATGCTCAGCTATGAAGTCACAGAGGCAAAAGCTGGGAAGCAAGGCTTAGTCATAAAAATAAAACAGGGAGACAGAGTTTAAACAAAAACAGTAACCAAAACACCATCTGAGTTGGTACAATACTGTACTTCAAAGGCCAAGTATTTATTTAGCAAACACACAGAAAAAAAGAAATCAAGAAAGAATTGTGTCCTATTGTCCCCAGACACTGGGTTTATCAGACAAAGCCTTCAAAGCAGCTATTCTAAAGAAGTTCAAAGATCAAGTTTTAGAAAAGTTAAGTAGCTAAAAGATGAGTGAGACAGCAGTGATTGAACAAATAAGGAAATTCAACAAAGACAGGTTATACATACAAACCAAGTGGAAATTCTAATTTTGGAATTGAAAAGCATAGTAACTGAAGAGGAGCACTTACTAGAGACATCAAAGGCAGAACAAACAATTGAAAGCTTAAAGACAGATCGATAAAATTGGCCAATCTGAAAACAAAAAGAAATAGGGATGGATAGCAATTTTACCAGTCAAGAACAGCACAGGCTCTTTGCATCCAACATCAGCAATTCCATAAATATTTAGATTGATGCATGCAATTGGGAAATTTCCAGAACACTGAGTGGATTGAGCTATTGCTTTTTTGTTTTCACTGTTGATTTTTTTTTCTCCAGACTCAGTGCTTTGGGGGAAAAGACTTACTAATCCTATAACTATATTGCATCATAATTGATGAGTACAGGGCTGGAAAGGTGGCTCGGTCAGTAAAGGGCTTGCTAAACAAGCATGAGGACCTGAGTTCAGATTCCCAGTGTGCGCCTGTAATCCCAGCCCTGAGGAAGCAGAGACAGGAGGATCCCTGGGGCTTGCTGAGCAGCTAGTCTGGCCGAATTGATGCACCAGAGGTTCACTTCCAATGATAGGATGAAGGGCTATTGAGGAAGACACTCCATATTGACCTCTGGCTTCCACTCACACCCCCACAGCCTACCCACATGAATACATTGAACACACACACACACACACACACACACACACACACACACACACACACACACACACTGCAAATAACATCTTGTTTGCAATGTTATCTACCCATCTATTTATTTTTGCAATAAATATAGGTTAAACCTAAAGCTTCATGCCTAGTAAGAAAGTGCTCACGTGGCAGTGGTGGCACACGCCTTTAATCCCACCACTTGGGAGGCAGAGGCAGGTGGATCTCTGTGAGTTAGTGGCCACCCTGGTCTACAGAGCGAGTGCTAGGATAGCTAGGGCTACACAGAGAAACCCCATTTCAAAAAATCCTGAAACCCAAAACAAAGGGTCCATCACTGCATTGTATCTCCTGCACTCTATTTGCTCTCTCTTTCTTTCAAGCCAATTTAGATTCCCACTAATTTGCCCAGGCTGTCCTTGAACTATCTCTGTAGCCCTTGACCTTTTTATCTCTTGCCTCAGCCCCTCAAGTGCTGGGATTATGGGCACGTACCACCACCACATCTAGATCCAAATAACACTTTTATTGCAAAAGCTCTCTTCTATTGTGACTGGGGAAATGGCTCAGTGCCTGGGACTGCTTTCTGCCCTTCCAGAGCACTTGAGTTTGGTTTCCAGCAACTGCCTATAACTCCAGCTCCAGGGGATCTGACATCATTTCCTGGCCTCCTTGGGCACCTGCACACACAAGGCATACACTCAAACCAATCCACATACATACACATAAATATAAATAAAAATAAATCTTTTTTTAAAAAAACTATCTTTTCTCGTTATCTATTTTTACTCATAAACCACTTCTACAACACTTAGTTATTCCTCTGTACCCTGGGTTTCGAGGGCTGTGAAGCTGAAATCTACATCTCCTGCTGACCTTTCCTTTTAGAGTACTGGATGGACAGACCTGGGTTCTGCCAGTGAGATGCAACTCCTAGTAAGGAGACGGAAGAAGGCACTGCTCTCCAGACAGTGGTGGCATGTGATGTGGAGGCTCTGGCCGATGTGAACTTTAGAAGGACCTGTCTCACTGAGCTCTCCTCTGGCTTCTTGGATTCAGGCAGCTGTGACCTTGGCCATGGTTTTCTGTATGTTCTTGTTGCACAGTTGAAACACCACTACTGCAGCATGGCTTTGAGATCCAGCCACAGGCCACTGATAGCTAATAAATATTCTGGCTTTGTCCTTTCATAATTGATCTCTAGTTTTAAATCTTCCGCTGCCTGAAACATCCAGAATGATTTCAACTTCTGAACTACAGCCTCCCTAAACAATTACATGTTATAGGAGACGTGTGTTAGTTAGCCAGGTAGGAAGTATTTGAGTCACTGGGAAGCATGCCATTGAAGGGGGCAGTGGGATTCTGCCCCTTCCTGTTGCTTCTCAAACCTCTGGTCGTGAGACAAATAGCTTCACTCTGTGAAGTATTGCCTCACCATAGGCCCCAGAAGCAAAGGTCTCAACCAATCATTTGAAACCTCCAAAACTGTAAACCAAAGGGAGCTCTTCCACTTTGTAAGCTGTCTCAAGGATTCCTTACAACGATAGAAAGCTAACATACCCATGAGCCTTCAGTAAGGATTAATAAGCAAATGCGTATGGCCTGAGGAACAAAATCTGAGACAAAGATTCTCAACAAACAGTAGGTGCCTTTTTTTCTTTTATATTTTTAGTGTATGTGTATGTATGTATGTTACACGGGTATTGTATGTCCATGTAGACACCAGTCCTTTTAGATCAGCCCCTTCCCACATATGAGCTTATTTAATCTTTATTACCTCCTGTCTTAGTTAGGGTTCAATTGCTGTGAAGAGACACCATGACCATGGCAACTCTTATAAAGGAAAACATTTAATGAGGTGGCTTGCATTTCAGAGGTTTAGCCCATTATCATGATGAGACATGGAGGTATGCAGGTAGACATGGTGCTGGAGCTGAGAGTCCTATATCCTGACCTGTGGAAAATGGGAAGTGAACTGAGTGTCACACTGAGCAAAGCTTGAGCAAAGGAGACCTCAAAGCCCACCCCCACAGTGACACACTTCCTCCAACAGGGCCACACCTACTCCAACAAAGTCACATCTCCTAATAGTGCCAATCACATCCAAACTACCATACCTCCCTATTGGGGATTGGAGCTTCTATACAACTGGGGCCCCTGGGGTACCCAATTCATTGCATAGCAACAAGAACAATAGCTATCAAATGAAGGTTGGTAGACATGTAACAATCTATACATCCATTAAAAAGTAAAGTCACAGGCCAACCTTGGGTGTTGTCTCTCAGATGTCTGCCACTTTTTGTTTGAGACAGTATCTCTCATTGGCCTGGAACTTCACCAAGCAGCCAACTCTGGCCAGTGAGCTCCAGAGATCCATCTGCCTCTCCCTCCCACCTTGTTGTCACTGGGATTACATGTAAATATCCCACCATGCTCTGCTTTTTTGTTTGTTTTATTTTTCAAGACAGGGTTTCTTTGTGTATCCTTAGCTGTCCTAAAACTAGCTCTGTAGACGAGGCCACCCTGGTCTACAAAGCTACACAGAGAAACCCTGCCTCGAAAAGCCAAACAAACAAACAAACAAACAAAAAACCCAAAACACACAAAAAAAAAAAGAAGAGGAGGAGGAGGAGGAGGAAGAAAAGAAGAAGAATGCTATTTGTGAACTAGGAAGGAAGATTTTACGAAGACCGGGGCTATGCTGGTACCTGGGTGATCCAGGACTGTGAGAAAATAGATTTCTGTTATTTGGATCCCTCTGTCTATGGTGGTTGTTATGACATCACAAGCAAACAAATGCACTCGTTGGTGCTAATGTTATTATTGAAGTTCAATGTCAGTGCACAGGAGGCTTCTCTACCTGCTCTATAATCTTTTTATCCACCCACCACCACCGCCAAGCTCACCTCAGATGAAAATGTTTCTCTCCAGTAGCACTCCAGAGGCAGAGGCAGGCCAAGCCCTGTGAGTGAGTTCAAGGCCAGCCTGAGCTACAGAGTAAGTTCCAGCCCTTCCTCAAATGGGGTCCTCACAACACACCTGGCCCGCAGAGGTCCAAGACATCCTGTGCAGGGGCTCTGAGGTTGCAGCTTGTGGCTGACACCTCTGTGCTCAGGGGCTGAACCCCAGTCACAGGACTTCTTGCATTTTCTTTAATATCGTCTGGTGAAGGAGAAAGCTTACATTTGGGGGCTCTCACTCCTCTCCCACCCCTCTTGCTCTCCCAGTCCCTTAGACTCAGGTGTTATACCTAAAAAACCACTGCTTAGGCCGGGCGGTGGTGGCACACGCCTTTAATCCCAGCACTTGGGAGGCAGAGGCAGGTGGATCTCTGTGAGTTCGAGGCCAGCCTGGTCTACAGAGCGAGTGCCAGGATAGGCTCCAAAGCCACAGAGAAACCCTGTCTCAAAAAACCAAAACAAACAAACAAACAAAAAACCAAAACCACTGCTTAATCCAAGGACACAAAAATCCCCACCTGTGTTTTCTCTAGGAGTATTATAGTGCTAATTAGGTCTTTAATTCTAGCTGGGCTTAATTTGCATATGACATGAGGTGGTTCCCGCTTTACTCTTTGATATCCTTTTGGGAGCCTTGGCACACCACGGGTTAGTTTTTAGGCTCTCAGCTTTCTCCCATTTTTGATAGAGTTCTAGAAAACAAACAGAGCCACCTGGGGTTTTGATAGGGTCCATGTTGAATCTGTGGATCAGTTAAGGAGTAGGTCAGAGTTTTACAAGACAAAAGATTCTCTGTGAAGCTGGGAGAGGCACTGGCAGACATCCTAACTGTTGGGTGATAGTCCCAGTGGGCTGTCTCATCCGGAGCTATCTTGGCTCAAGGCACAGGACCCTATGCCCCCAGATACATGAGCAAAGAAGTGGAGGTCAGGGCAGGAACAGCCAAAAGAGAGGAGTATCCATTTGCTCATCAGCCAGGAGTGAGAGGAGAGGAAGTGTGAAAGCCAATTCAGGGCTCTGTTATGGAGTGACCTTGTGATTGGTGTGTGTGTGTGTGTGTGTGTGTGTGTGTGTGTGTGTGTGTGTGTGTATTAAGTGTCTGTGTTTAGGTCCAAGAAAAACTTGTGGAAGTCAGTTCTTGCCTCTCATCATGTGAGTCTGGGGATTAAACTTGGAGCAAGTGCCTTTACCCTCTGAACCATCACATTAGTCCAAAAATTAATACCGAGGCAAGGCCTTGGAGCAGGATAAATGCTAAAAATGCTGTTAAGGTCTCCTGTACTACCACTAGTGATGTGGGGAGCATTTGCTGTTATACAGCAATGGTGTTCAGGAATACTATGTCATGCACCATTCTTCTAGGTTAGCCAAGCATACCCAAGCAGCCTGCCACCAGAAGATGAGAGCACTTTGCTCCTGGGCCATCGAGGAGGTGATCACATGGGCAAGGACAACTCTCCAAACCACAGTGACTGGGTAGAGCCTGACAACGTGCTCCATATGGGACATGTCCTAGCCAGTCATGCACAAAGATGCATGACTGGCCAGCTTTGTCTAGGATGCCTGTGACATTGGATCCTTTGCTCACAATGGCATAGTAGGTTGGTAACGAGAAATTCGCTCTTCTTCACCCCTAGGGCTTTTGCAGTCCATCACTGTCTGCATTTCTGGTAGGAGTCCACTACTTGCTTCAGGCTCTGCGAGGATGCCTCCGTCCCTTTGTACATACATTGCTTAATCACCAGAGGGCGCACTTTTCTAGGGAGTAGTGCTGGATTAGGTCAGGAATCTCTTGGGACCCTGAGTGGACCCCACCCACCCACACACCTGGGGGCCAGAAGATGCCGAGCCTCCTGGAGCTGACATTCTACGGTGACCCACAGTACACAGCTACGCAGCACTCAACAGAAGGAAGCAATCTAAGCACAGAAGAGGAATAGTGTAAAGAGGTCTTTTAGAACGTGTGCAGCCTTGGAAGTGGTTGCAACATCTTAACTTTGTCTTGGGAGGGAGGAGAAGTGATGTCAACGATTAAGGCAGAGGTGATTGGGCTGTGGCTGGGGAATGGCCACTGGGACAAGCAGGTAACTCTCATGCAGTTTGCTGAGGAGCAGGGTGTCTTAGGGTTTCTATTGCTGTCAAGAGACACCATGTTACCACCATGACGATGGTAACTTTTTGTTTGTTTTTGTTTTTGTTTTTGTTTTTTTGAGACAGGGTTTCTCTATGAAACAGTCCTGGCTGTCCGGGAACTCACTCTGTAGCCCAGGCTGGCCTCAAACTCACAGAGAGAGATCTGCCTGCCTCTGCCTCCCGAATGTTGGGATTAAAAGTGTGTGCCACCATGGAAACTTTTTTTTTTCTTTTTTTGGTTTTTCGAGACAGGGTTTCTCTGTGGCTTTGGAGGCTGTCCTGGAACTAGCTCTTGTAGACCAGGCTGGTCTCGAACTCACAGAGATCCGCCTGCCTCTGCCTCTCGAGTGTTGGTATTAAAGGCGTGCGCCACCAACGACCGGCTCCATGGTAACTCTTATAAAGGAAAACATTTATTTCATTGGGGTGGCTTGCTTACACTTCAGAGGTTTAGTTTATTATTGTCATGGCGGGAAGCAAGGCAGCATGCAGGCAGGCAGTGCTGGAGAAGGAGCTGAGGGTCCTACATCCTGACCATAGGTAACAAGAAGTGATTTGAGACACTAGGCATAGCATGAGCATAGGAGACCGCAAAGTCCACCTCCACAGTAACACACCTCCTCCAACAAGGCCACGCCCACTCCATCAAAGCCACACCTCCTAATAGTGCCACTCCCCAGGAGCCTAGCAGGCCATTACGTTCCAACCACCACACAGGGTGCCAGCCTTTGCTGGCAACGTGAATGGGTGAGCGGGTGGGAAGCCAATGGCTATACCTAAGATTTGATAATGGACCTCAGTCTCCTCATTCATAAAACAGATGGTGTGTACTGGAGTTTTGGGAGCCTCAAGTGAGCTGATGCAGACCAAAGGCTTGGCAAGGGTTATGACTCAGGGAGACCTCAAGAGGTGACCCATCATCCGGGGTCGGGGCGACTCATCTAGTTTTATTTTTGTGGGTTCCCTACTTGCACATCGTTGATATGGAGTCTCTGGCTCTCTCCTTGGTGTCATTTCCTCAGGGAAGTATTTCCTGGTTCCCCCACCCCTACCGGTGACAAACTGGATCCTAGAATACTTCCTCCTGACTCTAGCCCTGC